CACACTGTCTCATTTATGCAAGTGATGTCTATTTATATTGCACATTGCAATCTCAATTCTCAGAGGATGTAATGCAGAGTCAGTTCCAGGCAGCCATTGATCGTGCAGCAGGGTGAGGCTGTGTTAATCAGCTAGCTTTGTAAGGATGAGCGCTTCCTAAAGCCGCCATCCCTCTCACATTTCTGCCAACACCCCAGACATCTTTCACTGTCAGTGCATCTGTGTCTGTGCGTGTCTATGTGTGTGTGTGTCTGCGTGCTTCCTCCTTCTCTATCACCTCATCTCCATCATCAATCTTGATCACTCCATGTATCTCATTTTGCATACCTCACTGTTTTACAATCTCTGCAATCGAACACATTCAGATCACACCTCTACAGTTACAGTCCAAACCGCAACCAGGAAGCCAATTAGCTGAGCTCTAGTTTTCTCTCTGTTTTGGTTTGTGTATTTCCCTTCCCTAGTCTGATCTATTCTTTGTTTTTGCTTCTCCTGTCAGTTTAAAGGGCCCCAGTGCGTCTGGATTTTACTGTGAAATTACAAGTTAAAGAGACACAACCTACAAATTTCAGTTAAATCAAACAAGCAGACCTGTTGTTTACACTAAATGTCGGTTATGTAATCTTTACAGGATGTAATAATCTTAAATTGGCTCATTGTTTCTCTGGCACTAATCCAGCATGCAGTAAGCTGGTGGTGTTTGCAGCTACAGGCACTAAAGTAACATTAGACTTTCAAGTTTCTGGCTTCATTTTGTTTATACCCAGTTTCTTAAAAAAATGCAGCTTTTGGTGATCTTTTAAAAAAGTAAATATATATATACATATGTACGGTGTATATATTTAAAAAAGAGCTAGCTCTTTTTTTTCTGTGCTTGTTTTTTTTGCCTTTGTCACCACGTTAAAGGTGGGGTAGTCAGGATCTGAGGAAGTGCCAGTTTTTGGGAAGAATCTTGAATGTAAACTCTACCCCTCGCAACCAATTTTCCCATCAGCTCCTCCTCTCCCCTCCCTCTCTGTTCCTGCAAGCTCCGCCCACAAACAGAAGCTCCTACTCACTCATGTCATTCCAATTAAATTCAGATATAATGCAGATAAAAACTTAAGATAATTACAAATGGGGCCCAGTCAACATGAAAGTAAAAAGCATTGGTGCTACTGTAGATGCCAACAGACGACCAGCAAACACAATGTTTGCAGGACTTCTACAACGAGGATAAAGTGACATAGTCCAGGACCCGAGGGAGACAGTTTAGCGATGGCGCTACAACACGCTACAGCAGGTCACAGACACTGTTACAGACACTTGGCTTACTTTGTTAAAGCGGTTTACCTGTCCAGCAGAAAGGTTACAGGGTCTGTAAGATCCCGAAACAACCCCCATCGTTTATACTGATGTTGACCCAGCTTTTTAGCTCTTGTCCGGTCTACCTCCATTTTAAGTGCCTGTTATTCCGCCAGAGTCTATTTACTTGATTGTCTTGTTTGTGTTTTCTTTACTTTCTGGTTAGTTTCTACTGTCCGATATTGTAGCACGCTAACTTTGTTTGGGCTCGTGAACGTTATTTGAGGACGTGGACCGTGCCTCACAACATGAGGGAGCAGCGTCCGCCTCACAACCAATCAGGTCGGGGAGGCTGAGAATGGCTGTTTACAGTCAGAAAGAGCGAGCCGCTCAAAAGATTTAAAATGTTGACTACACAGACATAAGAGAACGCAGCGATATACTTATATTCCCAAATGTCATCAATAACTAATAGCCATTGAATGATATTAAAAGCTTTTTTGTTTATACACCACAAAAAAGATGCTTTTTTAACGGATTCCCGCCCCTCTGTTTGTGATGTCCGGCTGAAATCCTCTTTTCTCTGCAGCTAAGACTACATACTGCTCTCCATCGGCCTCTTTATCTTATTTCATTGCTCTAAAATGTGCTCAGACCAAACAGAGACGCATTTGATCTCCACCCAAGGGGAAAATGGTCAGGTTCTAGTCATATGCTTTTCCCTCTTGCATTCCTTTTCAAAAATACTCTCTGGTGGTGTACAGTACCAGCAACTGTGAAAGGAAAGACTCAAACATGCAGTAAAGTAAGAAACCTGAAAAAGCTTCTGCATATTACAAGATTATATAACGTCTGTGTGGAGGGTTAGGTTGGGGGTATGGTGCTTTTTGATGAAAAATGCACGCTGAAGATAATTTCCCCTGATAATATTGGTTATTTTAATAGTATGGTCAATGCAGATATTGTTACTTATTTATGATCTTTGTGCTGTATGTGGGGATGCAAGAGTGAATTCATATACCAGTATGTCTTCTGCCTTTTGGTGTTGCTTCTCCGCCTGTCTCACTACTTACCTCATTCTGTCACTCACTCTTCTGTTCATGTTTTTTCCTCTCCTTCCCTCTCTTACTCTCGTTTTTTTTCCTGTTGTCAGATCGGCACAGAGTGGGACGCCAAAGAGCGCATGTTCCGAAACTTTGGCGGCCTGATGGGACCCATGGACGAGACTGTGGGAATGCAGAAGTGGAACAAGGGTCCTAATGTCACCGTCACAGTCGTATGGATCGACCCCACCAACGTCATCGCGGCCACTTACGATATTCTGATCGATGCGAGCGCAGAGTTCACCCACTACCGTCCTCCGCTAAACCAGCCCCTGCGTCCCGGAGTGTGGAGCGTGCGCATCCTGCATCACTGGAGCCCCGTGGCTGAGATGCGCTTTCTGATTGCCCCGCTGGCCTACAGCAAGCACCAGCCCATACGTCAAGGTGAGAGAGCTGTCCCTCTGCGATCGTCATGACTCATTTATGACGAGCACTTGGCATTTGTTTTGGACGTCATCAAAACACAAAATCACTATTGATTTCCCTCTTGGTGTAAACGGCCTCGTCAGACTTACTGCACGGCTCTGCTTCTCTTTTTATGCTAATAATGATTTATCAAAGGGTACTTAAGACGATACTCTAAATGTCAAGTATTTCGCTAATGAGATAGTGCACTGCACAGGTTAAATTACACCTACACTGTGAGATCCGGTGCAGCGCATAAGATTGAATCTCTGCTGTGTTTTTATCTGTTGGTTGTTTTTTATGAGTTTTGTGTTTTACGATAGCTTCAACTCAACCAGTTATAACACTTAAATTCTGCTCTTTAGTAGGCCGTGTGTGTGTGTAGAAGGTGTGCGTTTGAACCGAATAAATTGCATGTGGTGAAAAGCACCGTATGCAGCTGGGAGGCTGAGCGCTGTAATAGCACAGTGCGTTTAATACATCAGTTACTTCAACAGATAGCATCTATAATAGTGTGTCTGCTGCGGTATAATTACTAGCCGGAGTGGTCCATTCAGTGCTACTTTGGAAATCTGCCTTTTTGCATGTGAGAGAGTAATACCGGACGTCTAGCATCTACAGCATTTGACATTTACAAGTGCTAGTTAATTTGCAAAAGTTGAGATTTTACACAAACCACTCACGGCGAGAAATGTTATTCCTGCTGTAAGGTTCTGCAAACTCAAGTTTTCAATCAGACAAACTGTATCTGCTACGGAAGTTTATGAACACAATAACAGAGGTTGCATTTAAACAGTCCTGATCTCTGTGATGGTGCATTATTGAAGTATTTGGTTTCCAATTTACACAAACAGAGAATCTGACACACAGACATGTTGATGTGCATTCGTGTTGCTGCCTGTGGGCTAGGGCTGAACAATTTTAGAAAATAATTGCAATTTCTTTTTCTTAATATTGCGATTTAATACGCAATCCAGTTGTACGATAAGAAATGTGGGAAATACAAGTTGAACACTCCTATACAAGCCAAAATAATCGATATTTGGAAAGTTAAACAGTATTTGTTAACCCAAATAAAGTGAATATGCATTTCAGGAGAAGAAAAAAAACTCAGTCATTACTGAAATAAAAGAAGTGGACTACTTTCATTCAAGTTTCTTCAATGGGATTTATTTGAAAAATTAAAAGGAGAAGATTTACAAAATACCCATATATTTTGTTATTGTAAGAGCAGCGGTAAATCAATTGATGTACTTCTATTGTAACCATGTCTCCTATTAGCTTATTTTAAAAGGTAACAATTGAACTGCAATTAGCAGTGCAAAGAACAAAGTTACACATTTTTATTCATGTACAACTTCTAAAAAATGCAAAAAAAAAAGAGCGTAGATTGTGTAATTTATGGGCGTGGTCTCATTGACTCACCCATTTGTTTCTGAATTGGAATTTTTAAGCCAATCAGCAGCGGTCTCTACACTTGAAATGCTAACTCATCCGAACTATTGGTAGGGCCTACTGGAGGCGGGACTTCAGCCTCCTAGCATCTTTATTTTTAGTTTGCCCACCTGTCAATCAAGTCCTGAGAGCACTAAGACTTTCAGACCAAACCGTTTTTGAACCAGGCTTTATTTTATTTATTTGCTCTAGAAATGGTTTGTATTGAATTAGTATATATGCTGTTTCATGTGCTCCTGCAACCAGCGTTAAACAAGCAGTTAGGGAACTGCATTTTTTGGCACATTTGCCTACATCAACTTCATTTTTCAAGGCTTTAAGTTACCACTTGTCTTATATGGGCAAAAGCTTTTGGTGTCTGATGTTTGCAAACTTAGAATAAAATTTATTGTAATCCTAATGGAGGTGGTTTATATACTTCAGGACTCCTCTAATCCTCGGATGCATCTTTTAAACTGTATTTAACACCAAAATGAAGCATAGAAACCCACACTAAAATAAACACTCTGTTTAAACCAAATTTTCCCTTGATCCCACAGCGGGTGATATTGGGTAATATCCAACTGCATCCCACAACCTTCGACTGATGTGTCGGCCTGTTTGTCAAAGATATTTGAAATCATTTAGAATTTGTTATCTGGTAATATACTCCACATTTGTATCATTAAACCGTGCCCCGCGGCAACAACACCTCTGGGTTGCTTCGCAGAACTAACCCCCTCCAGGGCACAGTGTGGCAGCATCCACGGCGCATATTGCCACCAAAGATGACTGTGATTGAGCTGTGTGTATTATTTAACCCAATCACAGCCATCTTTGGTGGTGATAAGCCAAGGATGCTGCAAAATTGTACCCTGAGGGAGTTTGTTTTGCAAAATATATCTGCACACGTGAAGCTAGCCCTGACATTAAAACGGTTCAACTCCCTCCAGATGAAACATTTAATGTCGCACAAAATTAAAGGACAGAAGATGAAAAGTCTTCCCTGTCACCTGATCTGAACATTGAAAGCATGATGTTACCACCTACGAGGTTGATGAATCAGGAAGCAAAAGAGGTTTGAAAATATAAACATGCAGCGTGTGTAAGCAGAGCAAAAATCCATCTGATATAAGAAGCCAATTACAGGCTGATCGACGCCGTCTACATCATGTGAGCCGGACTTCATTTGGATTAAGGATTGTGGCTTAAATTCATACATCATAAGAAATGTCGAACATGAATCACACGTTTTAGTCTTGAAGTTTTTTTTTAGGTCCAGTTTGTTAAATTGTGCTTTTGCATGCCTGGTCTTTGCTCTGTCTTTGTGTGTCTGTGTGTGTCTGTGTGTGTGTCTGTGTGCTCTCATGCTTTCAGCTTAGCTGTTCCATCCACCCTCCTCTAATTTACTGCCACGTCTGGCACCAGGTCTCCCTCCTACATGCAGTGCCAGTAAAACTTTATGACGTGGCCTTCCACTCGTATGAGCAGCAGGCACATGCATACACACACGCACGCACACACACACACACACTGCACATTTTTTTCTTTTTTTCTGCACAACACAAAACTACACAGATGCATGACTTCATATCACACTCTGCCACCGCTAAGCCGGTGTGCCTGGTCCTATCCTGGTGGAGCAGCTCATGTCTGACTGCGTCTCTCTGTCACAGGGGCATGAAAAGTGCTGATGTCTGCTCAGCCAGGCTAGCGCCACAGTTAGAGGAGCAGTGAGGAATTTACAGCTTCACTGAAACTCAGGGTGGAGAAAGTGTTGAAAGTTGTGTCTACGTTTGCTGTCTTCCTGTGGAGCTTGACCGTCATGGGAAGAAAGACGGCGGGCGTGTCTGAGTTTATGTCTGACCGTTTATGAAAAGTCGGCGCGGCCTGTGGCCTGACAAACCACATCAGAGTGGGATTCAAAGAGTCCAGTCGTGGAAAATCAATCCGAGCCAATTAGTAACCAGTATCTGTGTTTCAGATTTAATGAAGCAAATCACGTTTTCTGCTTTGATATTCCACCATTCATGTCTTTCCTTTTTCTTTCCCCTCTTCTCTTTCTCTCTCTCTGTCTGACCGCTGATTATCCACTCCTCACACATCATTTGTCTTCTTCCTCCTCCTTCTGTGTTTCTCCAGAGGATACGCTGAAGCTCCACAACGGGCCGGCGAAGAACAGCTACATGGAGCAGAGTTTCCACGGCCTGAACCCGGTTCTCAACATCCCCGTCAGCCTGGGCTACGTGGAGCAGGCCAAGAGGAACGCAGCCCTGACCGGCCCAGAGCTGGAGCACTGGTTAGACAGCCTGGTGGGCGAGCTGTGGGAGGCAGCTGACATCTGCGCTGTGGGACCGACCGCCTGCCCTGTCATGCAGGCATGCCCCAAAAACCCTTGGAGCTCCTTGAGCCCAGACCCCAAATCCCATCTGGGAGAACCACGAGCTAACGGGCGCATCAGGTAGCAGCGAGGCCTCCAGCTGGACGGGAGGCCTTGACACTGTTGATTTTAATTTATTTAAGGGGGGAGAGGGAGCCGTGTCCTTTCCTTGAATGAGATGGAAACAATAGAGAAAGAAAAGTTCCTCTCTTTTTTCTTTTTCGGAGAGGTTGGTCAGGGTTTCTGGACAGAAGGCAAGCAGAATGATTTTCAGATCCTCCTACGGAGTTCCTCCTTTCAGGGGATTATGCTGGCTTTGCTTTTTCACTTTCTCAGTGTATTTATTTTTCTTCTCATGGCTGAGTTTTACTGTGATCAAATGTTGCAATTTTGGAGCATATATTTTGCTGCAGAGTGAATTATGAAGTCAGCTTTTTAGAGCCGTGCACGAGGCACAGCGGTCATGTGAGTGAGGATTGTCGACACTGGCGGCAGACAAAGCTCTGCTGTAAAAAAAAAAAAAAAAGCCTTAGCTATAAAACCCGAGAAAAAGAAAGCCTGATACTGAAGTTAATGTGCCTCATTTAGTGTTTGTCAACAAGAACAAAACAAGATATTACCACAGTGTTTATTTTTGCCCCAAAAAAGTCCAAAAATGATGAGTTTGTTACCGCCGAACCATTTGAAGCATTTCTCATTAAGAGGACACAGTCTTTGAAGGACAAAAACTTGAGCATTGTTAAAGCCAATTAATCTAAATGAGTTTCTGATAGTCCAGTGACTCAGCATGTAAAGCATTAAGAATAAATCAGAAACAGCAGCACAACTTCTTCAGTCGAGTGCCTGATCATGATGTGGACTAACCATCTGCTACAGTCGCATCGAGTAAACAAGGAAAAAAATGCAAATCCAGAGGCCTTTTATTACAACAATTACAACGATTTGGATTATTGTAGAAGTACAGTCAGAACAGGACAGCCGGTTCAACGCTCCGAATCCACGAATGCCTCATTTGTGGTTACTGTACAACGGTATTTGAAGACTAACTCCCAGTTTCCACCGCATCCGGAACGGCGGTGATTTTTGCTGTCTGCCAATTCCTACCAGATGCGTTTGTGAGGCGAATTTGGTGATGGATTTCAGATAGTGGGAATCGCGAGGACTCACAAGGACCCGCATGCAGTCGCGCGATAACAAGTTGTCTCTCTGAAGACAGCCACAGAACCGTATAAGCAGTAGATTGTGTCCTTCCTGAAGAGGAAATACAATTCTGGATTTCTAGAATCAGCTTCTCCTCATCCATGGTGTCAACGGGGTGAAATGAAATCTGAAAACCTTTGACCTGTTCGTCCCCGCCGACGACTGCATGGTGTGAAATACGATCCGCCTGAAACATGTCGTGTTTTATTTTGAAAAGAATCCGGATCTTTTATTTTGCGTCTGTGCCCGACTTTCTTTCCAGCACGGACTAATCTGTGCTGAATTTATGCGGCATGCTGTGGCGTCAGGAAAAAATAGTACCCTGGCGATTAGGCCCAGTGGACCGCAGCGGGACAGAAAAAATGGGAGCGATCATCTGCGATCGGCAAGTACAGCCCTTTTGCCGCCATTCCGGTTGCGGTGGAAATTGTGGGTTAGCATTCACGTAGTCCTGGGTTTTGTTCTTTTGAAGATGTTGCGACAGGCAGAGGACAAAGAGAGAATTTGGTTTTCTTACTGACCTGCCTCAAACTTGAAACACAAGTATCTCAAGCTGACCTTAAAAACTCTCCATCTTTCTTTTCAGTGTCATCTTTTTTTACTTTCTTCCAGTCATTTTAACGACACTTTGTGTACACGATTATACACAGAGTCTCAAAAATTGTATGAATGGGGATGTGGGGGGGGAGTCCATGAGTCGCTATTTATTTACAAGTTTATATTGATGCTGATATTTTTAGTCAGTGACTAAATAATTGCGACGCTGCCTTGGCAGCATGATGAATATTTTTTTGTAAAGAAAGCCGCCTTTATTTACAAAGGCAAACACCCCAAACTTATACTGTACCTTTGTATGACCCGCATCTGTGTTTTAGTCAGTGTTGTCCTGTCTGAATAGATCCTCTTGTCTGGGTTTCTTACACGGCTGTTTGCCAAGTGCATCACAAGAGAAAGTCCCCCTTGACCTGTGAGGTCAGAGGTCAGCTACCTGACAACCTCACCAAACAGAGAAAGTGCACAAAAAACAGTCTCCACAACCAAACTCATGAGACAACACCTGGACGTGGAAGGAGGAGCTGTGCCGTTCGGTGTCCTACAGTTCCTGTGTGTGTCAGAAAGTCTGGTGAACCGTAGTGATCTTCATGCTGTGACAGTAACGGACAACTTCAAGTCAAGATTATTTTGCAACTTGACTGCAAAATGCATCCCCTGACAGACTGGGTCAGCGGCACCCTTCAAGTCTGTCTACATTTCAAGAAACTTTTCAGCCATCAAGACAATCTGTGAACATTTGAGACGAGTGTATCACACCGAGGGCAGCAGCACGAACCACAGCACATCCTGAACAAGACGCGTGGTCAGATATTTGTTTACTTTGAAATAAGTTTCATCTCAAGCCAATTAGGACTTCAATCTGTGATTGTCAACATTGTTTAGCCGCCACACGGGCTAAGTGAGTGTTTTTGCACAGGCTAATTAAGAGACATTTCTGTTCATTAATGTCAAGTTCACCTTGCCTCTCTGTCGGATGTGTCCATTTTAATCACTCCTCCCCTCTCAAGCCTTCACTCTCTCTCTGGGTTGGGTTGGAAAGGACTACTTTGTTTGTTTTTCACCGGCTGGCTTGTGTTGCCACCTTTTAACTTCTAGTGCCACCATGCTCAGAACAATTACTGCACACAGTACATATGATGATGTAAGCTCAATGACAGTTTTGGAAAAAGGCGAATAAAATTCATGTAACTCATTGTGGAAGTCCTATTTTGTAACAAAATGATTAACAAATGAAGAAGCTGTATATAGGTATTTTATATTGAAATGTTGTTTCAAAGGTATTGTACATGTAAATACAGATGTGGTTAAAATGACATTGAACTATAAAGAGTTTTTGAAGTATCAATAGGTGGACGACACAGAGTGGTGATGAATTGGTGGTGTTTATTGATCAAATTACTTTACCTGTTTCAGTGTTTTTCGGACGACAACTTTGTCCTTTTGGCCTCTCAGAGAAAATCACACGCCAGATTGTTGTTGTTCTTGCTGGAATGTAATGTTGAGCAACTGTTGCACAAAATTTCTCTGAACTGATGATTCCCCCGTTATTTTTTCAGGGGAGGCTCTGTGTGCCTTAGCTGACTTTTAGAACCTTCTCTTTTCATGTGACGAAAAAAAAAATCCTTATTTTCTTATTTGTTTTTCGATCTTGAAGAATACCAAGAGTTTGTTGAGTGATTCACTGGTACTGCAACACCAAAAAGATGTCTGCTGTTGTAAATATCATCAGGCCTTCTGTCTATATCAGCTGTTTTTTTGTTTATTTTTTTCTTTTCTTCCCTTTGGTGGATTTGTTTTGTTGTACTTGACTGGCTTGTTTTACTTTTCTCTGACTGCTTTTTGGAAATAAAACTCTATGGAAAACAGCTCGTGTGACTTTTACAGTGTTACCTATTACATGCACAGGTCTTATCTATTTAACTGAGTAGGATATGTAATAGGGGTGGGAGAAATGGTCTCATTTACCAAGTATCTATTTTTTTTTATTATTTAATTGCCAATATGAAGCTAAATCTATGGTAATGGGAAAATAAAATCCACTGTTTGTCCAGTGAGGTTGGCAGAGGTGACAACACAGAGCAGTAAAAAGTTGGTACAACATGTATGCAATATATTGTATCAAAATAATCACTGTATTGCGATATTATCATATCGTGGCCCAAGTATTGCGATATTATCGTATCATGGGGTCACATTCCAACCCCTAATATGTAATGCGTTAACTTTTGTATAACTTTAAGTGCTCTGAGGATTATTAGACTAAACCGGAATCATTGGTGTGAATCACAATATAAGGGGGACATGAGCTGCTTGGCAGAGGTCTGCGCTCTCAGAGTGCTTTTCTAGTTATCCATGAAAATAATGTTTGTAATATTTTTTGTAGTTGGCCTCTGGGCCTATACATCTATACTGAATATAATGGTTTGAGACTCTTGTGGGATTCAACCGTTGCCTCATGTCTGAAGTATTTTTCTCTGTCAAATTAAAGTAACTGAATTGTTCACTGTGAGTACAGCTAGTTGCTCCCATATGTTTTTTTTTTTTTTTTTGAACAAATTCACTTTAACAAGTGGGTTTTCTCACCCAGCATCCACATTATAACACAGCTCTTAAATATGCAGCCACAGGGAGAGTGTAAGCATTACAAAAGAATGATTAGGTCCTATAAAAGAGATGGAGCAAGTCATTCTGTTGCCTCATAAACACGGCTATGAAGTGCAGTTAAGCTACATTTGTCCTGTTTCACAGAAACAGAGATGTGTCAATGAGTAGAAAATGAATCTTAATTTCTTGGTTTGCTCTCCGTGTCTGTGCGTGTGTGTGTGTGTGTGTGTGTGTGTGTGAAGGTTGGCGTTCCCCGGAGACTTCCTACCAACACGGCGGCTCTGAGAGTGTTTGACAGGCCTTGATCAAAGGAACACTACAGCGCCAGCAGATCCCATTAACTGTCCCATAAGACTTGGGACAGCAGCCTAATTAGTCCTCTCTTACTGTGTTTCCTGAGTAAGCAAGAGGCTCTCTCTCCCACAAAACATTGCGTGCAGGTTTTTCATGCGTGCGTGGGTGTGCTGGTTAAGACGGATGTGAAGGAGATGAAACGTACGGCGGCCTTTGTGCGGATGACTTCACCGGGATGAGCGGCATGATGTTTGCTCTTCGATAGGAAAACACTAAAAGATATCCTGCTGGAGCTGTGAGGAAATGACTCAGATAAATGGCGGATAAACACAATAATGATCACTAATAGCTTTTAACTTCAGCTCACTGACACACATGCTGCTTGATTAATTAGCACTGCTGCAACAGGGAGATCTTAATAACAGAGATAAGCATCACTCACATCTGCACATGGGGAGCTGGGGAGGCGTGTTTGTGACCAGAACTAGACTATAATCAAAATTCATGAAAAAAAGAAGATGCAGTACATGTCCTGCACCCTTAAAGGAACCATACTATACCCTTTTTCAGCAGGTTCATTTAGGTCTCAGAGGTCCCAGAACGGTCAATTTAAGGTTTGTTGTATAAAAACCCATTTTTTTTCTCAACTTCAACCAGCCTGCCAACTCCTTTGTAAGGACAGTCGCTAGTGGCTGTCGTAAAAGTCGTGAGATAAAGTCATTGTGTAATTTGCATAATTTCTCAGTCAAACACCCCACCGACGACGATGACCCCCCCTTACCCCACCCCAATCCGGGAGGAGAAGGAAGAGAAGGAGGAGGAGTCTTCTGCGAGGTATCTGTATGTGTCTGTGTCTGTGTTTTTGATGCACACTGGCTACCCGTTGAGAAGAGTAACATCGATACCTGCGTTCATGTTAGAGTCTCTAAACTCCAGAAAAAGATTTGTCGCTAGGTGCTTTTTTTTTAAAAATAAGTCACTAGGTTGGCAACACTGAGCTTTACCGAGAACTCGCTTCCTTCCTTCAGCGCAAGCCACGCCCCTCCATGTCTCTCTAGTAGAGGGGGGCGTGGCTTGCGCTATGGTACCATACCCCAATGTTTACACAGAGTGCTAATGCTAGTGCTAGCCATACCAGTTTGACCCAGAAGGAGAGGTACCTGAAGAAACTTCAACTCGGTGTCTGCAGCAGGACGTTTCTGAATGGTTAGTTACAAATATTATATCTCCATAGTTTTCTTTTTACGTTTTTTCTGTGTTGGTACACAGTGAATAACATGTAGCTAGGTAACATTAGCTCCTGCTAACGGTTACATCTCTGCTGTCTTCTCGTCACTTGGAGTTCTTTTGGTGAATGTGAAAAAAGTAAGTATCTATCGTGACTACTAGGACTGTTACTAGCGTCAGCTACCTGCCTATACTCAGTTAGACTGCTACAAGATTGTAATGTCAAGACTGTGATCGATGCTGACAAAGTAGAACTAAAAAATCTTAATCTCTCCCCAAAATCTCTTAATATAATAGCAGCTCCTCGTTTTTTTTGTTTTTTTTTTACATTATAATGATCTTACCCTGCCATAATTCAGCATAAATTAGGGTGACCATATTCTGACTTCCCAAAGAGAGGACATGACTAAATGGGGGTCACGGAGTCGCACAAAGTTAATTTTGAGAGTTTTTCAGGTCAGATCAAGTCTTTTACGCACTTCGAACTCAGCAAGTCCACGTGACACAAACTTGAGGACAGAATGAGGACGTGTGCAGGTTAAAGAGGACGTCTGGTCACCCTAGCATAAATATGTCTGTCTGTGAGGGAGAAAAATAGTGTCTGAGTGGAAATTTTCGGGGGGCAGAACAATCATCTTGGGCGGGTCACCAACCTGGAGGGGAGGAGTCATGATGGTTTCAATCCGCCCGTTTGAGCAGACATTTTCTGAAAAGTGGAAGAAGCAAGAGAGGGAGAGGATAGAATTTTCTCATTTGGGGCGGGTTTGTAGACAGGCAGGGGATGATTGTTAGAAAACCATAAAAAAGTGAATTTTGCAAAATATGGGACCTTTAATATGTAAATAAATATTATAAATAATCTTTCAAATCTGATTTCTCTTGAGTTTTATGTAACAAAAAAAAAAAAAGACATTTGACAAATCAATCCTCTTGTTCGAGAGTTAACTTCAGGAAACAGAGGGGCTTATACAGTTCTGACACTTTCTGATCTCTTGCACAGACTTTTTTTCTCTGCTTGATGTCCAGACTTCCAAAAGCCACTTTGTGACGAGAAACAAAGAGGGTTTCATGAGCAGAGCGTGCGAACATCTAACCATATAACGCTCACAGCCAAGTCAAGTGTCAATCCAAGAAGTATTAAGTGTCCATCTGGCCACCAGTACCAGCTGGCGCGCCGACTCACAGATGGACTTTTGAAGTTTGTCCAGGTTTTGGAAAAGTCAATCAACTGTTACTCCAAACCAGCACAAACATACATGACACTGAAAACCTGTTAAAAGCCGTCTCCTGCTGATCCTGTTGTCGGCAGCGTTTTCTCGTCCCTGAGGAGAAAAAGTCTTAAAAGTCTTTTCTTAAAACAAACTTTTACTGACTGACTGTTTTGTGATTTCACCTTGTTAACTGCATTTATTATATTTAATCATTTTTATTCAATTGTTGCCAAGCCCTCTTTTGATTCCCTATTTCCACTGTCCTTGATTAGTTTTATCTTTTTACTTGAACACTTATTTTGATTCACTTCACTACTCCACATCTTTTCATTTCTCCTGAAGTCATGTTTTGATTGTCCTTTGGTGCTTTTATTCTTTTTTAATCTCCTCATTTGTTTTGATTTATTGCTCCCCTGCTCTTGCAGATCTATCTGTTTAATCACTTGTTTCCTGTTTATTCACATTTACTCCTGGTGAACTTTTGTGTTGCATTTCATTCTCGAATTGTTTGAATTTTGTAGACTGTTGGTCATTATTTCTCTAAGTTTCTGTCTTTGTTTTGTCAGACAAAGAACTTAGTTTATATTCATTTAAATAAAGTTATTACATTTTTCGTATTTTCTGTCTTTAAATAGATCATAAAACCATCTTTGATTAACTTTCAGGACATGCCCTCTCTCCTTTCTTTAACATAACTGATAGAAACATCGGAAAAGCACTTCTACTGAGCTCACGGATGCTCACAAAAACGAACAGGGGTCATGCTTTTCTGTGCACCTCATGCACCCACACTGCAGTTCATTAATGCTGTCTCATAAAATACCAACCCACTCTAAAAGCTAAATGCTGCAGACTCCGCAGTCATCCACAGGGCAAATCCGAGCAGACAGCATTCATTTACAGAGAGCGGATGGAATAGATGTGAAGGATGCAAACTTCAAAACAGGCTGAATATTTTCCAGACGTATAAATCTGCACAGAGAACAGTCTAGACATGCTAACCTGTAAGGGGATTTCTTTTTTGAATGGGTGGCTGCTTGATAAAATGAGTTCGACTTTTGTTGGTGAGGAGAGGTTTAAATCTCAAACTTTTAACAACCTCGCAGAAAACACAGAGTTTGACACAATCAGGGTTTCTGCCGGGTGTTAAAGGTAGGGTTGGTAATCTGATTTAGATACACTTTTTGTTATTCTAGTTAAAATGATCTTGATGTTCTGATGACAATCAATACATGAAGTGTTCTTAAAAAAGAGCGAAACATAGCTGCTATCTATAGCAGGAATAAACTGGAAAAACACCAACCAATCACATCGTGTGGGTCCCACATTTTTAAACCAATCAAATCCCGTGCTTGCCTCTTGCATGTTCATGTCGCCGACGTGATTTAATGCACATAGCCGAGCTGTGAGGGATACAGCAACACTGGAGAATGGCAGAGAAACTACCTATACCCAGATGGGGGGGTTACACAAAAAAGTGTAACAGTTGAGTATATAAAGGATGTCCCAGGGTGTACTCTGTGTTTTAAAATTACTTTTGTTTTTGACAAATCCCAAAGAAAGAAAATAGCTCGTCTTCACCCTACAAGCAAGTATCAAGCTCCAACATGGGAACTCTCAGATCCAGTCTTGAAATGTTAGAGCCCAGCTCAGCTGTTTTGACTCATTTCCTCGACTTGTTTAAGGAGGCAAGGTATACAGCTGACATGTCTCTCAAGATTTAGTATGAACAAGTCTCAGATAAATCAGGCTTGGCTGGAAACATCTGAGACTTGGATGCGTGTGTATTGTTTGCGATTATTTTGTATTTGTTTACAGTCAAAGAAAAAACGGGTTGCAATTGTTTTGTTGTGGTCCAACCCCTCAGATCTTCCTTTTCGCCCCTGCAAAATTCAGCAGCAGTGAAATGTTGTTGACTGTGGCCAGGGAAACACTCAAGCTGAGATGAGAATCGATCTGAAACCATGGGTTGGGGAAACTACTTTTTGAAGCCACTATCAGCAGCCACTAAGAGATTCAAACCAAATGGAAATGGTGGGATTTTGATCACCAGCTGGCTGGTAATGACACTTATCTCTGCTATCTGCTTTCCAGTGCGCAGAATAACGACATCATCCCTCAGTCCTTAACAGTCAAATCTGATTTGAAGCACCTCCACCCTGCTCTGCTCCAACTTACACTGCCAAGCTAATATATTTCCAGCCAGGCAGAAGAAAGGCAGTACATGCTTGTGAGCCAGAGTGGGTGCTAAATATTTCAATAACAGCTCGCTGACAGTGAGAAAGAGAGCAGGAGAGCTGGAGGTGCAACGGGGCTGGCTTTGAGTCGCTGTGGGAGCAGCAGCGAGAGGTGACAGGTTAGTGCTGGTGTTACATGAGGAAGTGTCTGAAAACATCAGCAGTCGGACAGATAACAACACCGGGAACGTTAAGAGCGAGAAGCGGGCCAAGGCCACATGGCGTATTGATCAAAGAGGACAGGGAAAGGCAAGCACTGAGGCTCCACTAATGCACCTGCTGGTACGAGGTATGTGTGAGGAAGGCATGAGATGACATGACTACAGGTGAGGAAACTCAGCCGAGGATTATACGAGGTCATACAAAGTTTTCCCATAAATATATGTATGGGGGAAAGGATAGTGTCTGCAGAGATCTGCTGCACAACAAACAAAAGAAAAGAAAAACAAGGGAAAGAAAACAGGCAAGGCAGTTATTGATGTTCCCTGTTTTCAGTGTGGAAATATTGAAGTAGTCTCATCACATCCTGCTGACTGTTCGAGTACAAGTCATGACTATCAAAGTCTGAAATCAAGTCTGGCAGCCTCCACCTTCAGTCCAGAAAGTCCCACATTTGTCCTGGATTGTCCTTGAGGTCCACTGAGGTCATCTTATCTCACCCCAAATTTTTTAAGGTAACTCTCTGTCACATAAAATAATCTATAAGATTTATACTGTACATTTTTATCCTTATTCTTATAACTACTGCTGCAACCGATTTGGAAACGTACATATTTATCTACAGGATGTGAATGTCACTCCTTTCATCACTCTCTAAACAGTACAATAGAAGCATGGCGCAATTTATGGTGCAGATTTAATCTTTGGTCATTTTGTTTATAACTTTCAAGTTTTATTAAGTGTTATATTTTCGTCTTTTCCAGGCTTGTAAAAATTGCACCATGCCAAGGATGAAGACTTCCAAATAAAGCAGACACTCCATGAATGGGTACAGAGGATGATGACTTCACAGTTTTCCTACATGAATCAGGATTGAGGTCGCTCACAGACTGGTTACACACCAGCTAATTCACTCTCACTCAGGTTAAGTAGACCCGATTTCCATCCCAACACTTTTAACCTTTTTGTCTTTTAAATATAGGTATAAACATTTTGCATGATGTGCTCATCTCAGTGTCTCTGAAGGTCTTTACACACCGACGAATTTGCAAAGCGAATAATTTACTTTTTTAAAAACCTCAGAAAGTCGATACAACCTTCCACGCCGGCTACAAACTTCCGCAGAGCAAAAAAAGCGACTGCAATTTTTCGCCCCGTAGTGAATTTCGCAGGTGAACTGCTATATAAATCTATAGCCTATAGTGATGGGAAGTACAGTTCTTCTGACTGTACTCAATCTTTAGAATTTGTTCACCATTGTTCCTCCTTCTTTCTCTCCCCCTCTGTTCTCCCATGGCATATTTTTATGCGAATACGCAAATTTTATTTGCATCCCATCGAGTGTGTATAGGAAAAGGCATAAGCCGAATATTTAGCTTTTTCGCATCACATTTTTGCGTCGTTTTGCTAATTCGCAGGTGTGTAACGACCTTGATTCTTAAATTTTTCAAGGGAAAACGAAACACTAAGATAAAAGAAATACAATATTGGTCATTTTACTGAATAATAGTGGTCTCCTTTGAGTATCCTTGCTGCATTACAGCTCCTGCCTTATTGTGCAATTGTTGAGATATATTTCAGGATTACCTGTTCTTACTTTAGCATCCTATCTCCGCCACGCTTACCGTAATCCAACAGAAAATCTCAGACAGAACCAGACTCATGTAAAGGTCGTTACACACCGGTACATTAGCAAAGCGACGCAAAAAAAATCAGCTTACGCCTTTTCCTAGACACACTTAAAATTCGCTTAAAATAAACCACGGGAGAAGAGAGGGGGAGAGAGAAGAAGGAGAAACAATGGTGACTACATCTTCAAGTGATGATGACCTGGTCATGGTTGTAAATAACAAAAAGAAAAAGAAGAATCCAAGTGTCTGGATGGGAGATGGGGGAGCTCCACACAATGATCCAGGAGCTTGAATTGCATCACGAGAAATTCCCAAAATACTTCAGAATGTCCCTCAGACAATTTCAAGAACTGCTCCATCAGCTGACTCCACGTTTGCAGAAGGAGAGGACAAATTACAGAGAGACGATTGATCCAGAGCAACAGCTTGGCACATGTCTGAGGTACGATTTATATTAGGCTATAGATTTACAGAACAGTTCGCCTGGAAATTACGGTAGCTTTTTCGCTCTGTGGAAGTTCGTAGCTGATGTAAAAGCTTGCATTGACTGTTGAGGTTTTAAAGAAAAGCAAATTGTTATTCGCCCCAGTGTGTAACGACCTTTAGTCAGCCGTCTGCTGAGACTGAACTGTTTAGAGAAGGGAGAAAGAGAGAGATGGACAGAGGTGAGGCTGAGCAAAAACACCTGCAGCAGCGACCCAGAGTAGCTTCCAGCATGATGGAGCTCAGAGACTCCCAGAAACGACTGTGTGTTAGTGACTCTAATGGGACATGATGATTCAGAGTTAATGACACAGACAGACAGAGGATAGAGAAGCTACACTTTGAACGCCAATATCTGTCCACAGCAGCAGACAGGACCGTTTATCTGTAAAGCGAGTGTTTCCCCTCGTGACTTAGGCCAACTGTCACTCAATATGCAGAGGCCCGGTGATCATCTGAAAAGTGGAGCATAAGTAGGCCACGTTACTCAACAACTGACAGCATGTCTCAACTGTATGTAACCATCACATCAAAGAAACTCAGCGTCCACACTGCACTGTTGCACTTTTCTTACGTAATCTCAGTAGACCACATTTCCATCAGCTGTGCGTAGGAGGCCGATGTTTGATATAGGGATTTATCTTGTATGTGATCACATGTGTGCATCATCACTGAAGTCAAGGCATATACTTGTTTTTGTTCCTCTTTTCATTCAATAAGACTATTCCAGCTTTTTTGCCAAATACAGATGTTTTACTGCGACTTTGCAACCAAATCTATCTATGTTTTTATCTATACTGGGTTTGAGGTGACTGAAAACGGAGATGTTTAGAAACATCTTTTAAGGTTGGAGAGGTTTAAAAATGATGTTTTGTTGTTGGCATATTTTGGAAATGCTAATTTCCTTCCAATGGAATTTACTTCCAATGGTGATTTGTTTATATTTAGGTCCTGTTCCCTTGCTTTAAATGCATGTGATGCAGATGTCAAATCATTAGTAGCCGTGTGGAATAAATAAATACAGCTGTGCTCAATATTTATGAAAAGAAAAGACCTGAAAGAGGATCGTTTTTATCCTAAAACAAACCAGACGTTTTTTTCCCAAAGCCAACACAGTTAAATTAACATATTAGGATTATTTAGTCCCAGTCTGACTCAGCTATTGATTCACTCGGAGCAAAGAGCCTGAGGTCGATATTAAAATGCTGATCAGCTGTGTGTTTGAGTTAAGATGTACAGTAGAAACGAGTCAGGAGGGTGAACAGGAGGAAGACTGCAAGGGAGCATGGAGGCAGAGAGAGACGGGGAAGGTGTGTAAGAGAGAGAGAGAGAGAGAGAGAGAGAGGAGGGTGAGGCAGAGAAAAAGACAGAGACAAGGAGACAGCTCCCAGCAGAACTCTAAAACAACAGCGTGTCTTGCTGACGGATGATACGGCGAGGCCGGCTGGCCAGCCATGCGAGCAACCCATTCCCTCTTGAACAGCCCGTCACAGAACAGGATCCACATCAGCAGTGTACGAGAGAGGAAGGAGAGATGAGGAGGAGGAGGAGGAGGAGGAGGAGGAGGGGAGGTCAGAATGGGGTACAGTGAAAACAGGTGAGAAGGGGTGAGGTGGAGTGATAAAGGAGAGATGTAGATCAGGAGGGGGAGTGTTGAGAAGGTGAATTAGACAGCCGGTGAGGGAGGTTTGAAAGAGGCCGTTAAACCGGCTTTCTCAATTATTCATTAGAAGTCAATACAACCCCAGAGCAGAAATGAGGGAGGTTAAAGAAAGAGCACCGGAGAAGACAAAGGTGGAGATGCTTCACATGACTCTGTAATTTTCTGATCAATTATCTTTTATCTTTGGATGCAACTGATTCCCAAAAAGCTTTTCTGAATCTTTGAAGACAAAACAGCTTTTTTTTATTGCAGAAGTAGGACCAGGCTGCTGAAAGACAAGCGAGCGTTTTATGAGTAACACGTTTTCAAATGGCCAGACACAGTGTAAAGACATGATGGATCCACCTTTCCTGAGCACACTCTTACACTTATTCGGAGTGGTAAGCTCTTAGTAAGGCTTGGGAAGATTCTAACTGGGATAACATAACGTTAAATGAGGCCAACAACCTCTTTGTCTGCGATCAGATCAACCTATTAAACCCCCGAACTCATCAAGTCTCTGCAGCTTCCTCTCCAAACTTCCTCTCCGTACGCAGCAGCCACAGGGATCGAGCGATAGATCTCTTAAATGTCATGAAGACTGATGGCGGGTGTGTTAAAGTGTGGTGACATTACTGCTTCGGCTCTCCCTCTTCCTAAGTCAGGCTTGTCTGCCTTCCGCACTGACATTTTGCCGGCCGTGTTTACGTGGGACTCGCCGGCCAAAATGCCACTTCAAGATTTATAGCTGTGAACACTGGCCGCTGGAGCAGAGAGAAGGTGTGTGCAACCAGGTAGAAAGAGGCCCAGAACAAATGAATTTGAGCATTCATTGGTTCTCCATCATCTTCCTTTCCTTTTTTCTTTATATTTCATCTCTTCCTTCTTTGCTTAATATCCACTGTCATCGCCTTTACACTATGAAATTCTCCGACTCTTTTACCTCAAAGACCCTCTCCGATGAAAATCATGTTTTTCTTGTCGTTTACATGTTCATATGGCATTTTCCTGATGCTACAGGACATATCATGAGAAAGTATTTCTGCATTCAAATTGCTGCACATCTTCGGCAGACCCAAACGGCAGGTTCAGACACAGTGAGATTTCCTATGTAGCAAATCCAAGCTCCGCCCCCGGAGCCCCACTATACAGGCCAGACTCGGAGAAGTAGAGAGGACGATCGCGGAACAAGCGAATTCATTAGCGGATTGCAATACTAGCGAGAAAGCTAATCATGATATTAACTTTTATCATGCTGGTAAAGGCATTAGTGTTGAGAGCTGAATAGTTCCTATGTTACCTACCACTTCTACTACGCCGGCAATGTTAGGCTGCAAGCTAGAGCAAAAAACAGTGTGCAGAGCAGCGCTGTCTCCGCCCACGACTCAGAGGTGAATTGTTAATGAGCTGCTGGAGCTCTGCAGAAAAAAAGCCCTTGAAAATGACACAAGTAGTGCGATTTTGTCTAATAAGCTCATAATCACAATTTAAAGATCACTGAGAACACTTTAAGTAATAAAAAAAACAATCAAAGTGGGACTTTACATAACTGACTTTTTTGCTCTCTCTATTTTTTAAAATTCTATCAAAGGAAATAAAATGTTTTCTTTTTACTTATTTTATTTCAGTTTATTTTTTTGGCAGGAGAAGCTGGAGTTGACTCTGGTTAAGTCTGAGCTTGACCAAAGGCAAGGTTGTTCAAACACCATTTCTGTCTCTGGTGGAGAAGGTTGATCTTTTTAAGCAAAGGTTAGACTGAAGAGAAAGGAAACGGGGCAGGACAGCTAATAAGCTGCGTTAGCCTCAGTTTGGACTTTCTTCCCTCAAAGGTCAGAACTGTCAGGACGGCTCGCTCTTGGTCAGCAACATAAATGTAAGTGTCAAAGTTGAACATAAGATGAAAAACACATTTGCCTGCAAGTCAGCATTGCTATTATGTAGAGATGATTTATTAAAACAATGGCATAAGATTGATTTTTTTGGTTTGTGTTTTTGTACTTTTGAGCTCTTGTCTCATAAAATTTCACAAAATTTGTTTTTATCATTGAATGAGATGAAAAGTACGGAAGCATGATGCATTCGCTTACAAAAAAAAAGGAAACTGTTTTTTGAGTATTTTTTTCTTTGCTGTTTTTCTGACTAATTTTTTTTGTTTGTTTTGTGTACTAAAATTTTTCCTCTCTTAGTGTTTTTCTGACAATTTTGTTTTTTCGTAACTTTTTTTTTCATCTTTCTGTTTTTCAGACAATTTTTTTATCCTGACTAAACGAGATACTTCAAAATCCTGCGAAAATCTCATACAATGAGATAACATTAACCACCGTGGCTGCTCCAAATCAGCAGATTCTCCAGCTCCTAGATAACTTTGACTACGGGGTCAATGACAGTAAAGCGTGTTGTTAGTTAAATATAGGGTATACAAATCCTGAGGTGTCTGCGCAAAGTAAACAAACTTATGACGATTCCATCGATCTGACTTAAAGAAAGGAGTATCTCTCAGTGTCTCAAACCAAAAAGAAAGTAAAACTTAATTAAACTAAACAAGTGGGCCATGTTAGCCTCCAATAAATCGAGCAGAGGGGGATGAAAGTGTCTGTTTTTAAATGATCATGACCTCAGAGAATAGGAAAAACAATCTGTCTGAAAAACAAAACAAACAAACAAACAAAATAAAAACAGTTTCAAAAACAAAATTAGTCAAAAAAAATTACTCTGAAAAACAGAAAAAAGTAGTCCAAAAAACAGGAAAAAAAAGCTGAAAACGGAACAGAAAAAAAATTCTTAGAAAAACACACACACACACACACATATATATATATATATATATATATATATATATATATATATATATATACATTTTTTTTTTTTGGTGAATGCAGTCTGCTTCCATAGAAAAGAGCCACATTTTATCACCTTGAGAGGATCCCTGACAATATAACAGGCAACACTTACGCTTCACTTCTGCTCTGCATAACATTTTTCCTTTTGTTAAGGAATCTTGTACCGTTCCTCGTCACTAAAATGAGATTCAATAAAAAAGAGGACACAGATGGAAAAATGTGAAATAATGTTATAGAGGGACTAAAGAATGTGTAAGAGTCTAATTTTTGCCAGGATTCAATGTCACAGGCGTGCGCCACATAACTCTACGGGGAGTTTCTGTGAGACATGAAGTCACATCCCAAGGGCATTGTTTTCCTTCCTTTATGGGTTGCATGAAAAACGTCCTTCCTCCCTCGCTGCGCCCCAGTACACCCTGTGTGACCCACATAAAACAGTCAAAAGGAACAGCAGCCTGTGTGCTTACTGTTTGTACACACATCATATGTCACAGCACACTGAGTGTCATCATCGCATGGCAGGGACATCAACCTCCTCTGTGGGAGCAGCTCTGCTGCATAATGTGTGGGATGCATCATCCCTCAGCCGCTGCGGCAACCTCCAACTAACACCATCTCTCAGTTTGAGGAAGTGATCTGTCAAGCTGGCAAGGTGGTGCACTGAGTCCCACTAAACATGATCTCTGCATTGTCTCTTTATGTAATGAACTACATTTTCCTGACACCATGGGTTTCCCTGAATATGCAGCTTGTACCCTCTCCGCTGAGGAAACTGGATTTCTGACATTATTAAACAAGTGCTGGGATGAGCTGAAGAGCACAGCGGGTCTTCAAAAATAACTTTTCTCTTTGAAAATCTGATCTGAAAAGAACCAAAACAAACAATCAGGATTTAACAAACAGCTAGATAATTGTATGAACATACAGTCAGCTGTTATCCTTTCCAACAGCTGCACCACACTGTGCACCACTGTAGCCTGAATGTAAACACTAATCACTCATTTAATGAGAAGACACACTTCACAGAGAATCTCTTTGATACATGTAGGTTTTCACTTCCTTTCACCTCCTTTTTATCTACTCAAATCTAACTAACCCTACAGTGATGTTTACACTGACCATGCTTCTCTGTATGTTTTCTAAGGGGAGGCAGGCCTGCAAGTTTAGTTATGGGGTTCACTTTGTAACTTTGTCCAAGAAAATATCAATAATTACATTTATCTCCAACTTACTGAATAAGCAGAGGTTTGCAGAACTCCACATTTCTTTAAAACAAACTAATTGAGCTGGTATGACACACCTCACATTGAGGATTCCTACTAATGCAGGCCGGCTTTGGGTCTGGGTTGTAGAGCTTTCAGTTATCAAGCTCCTCTCCTCTGGATTTATCTACCAGTCGAGGTGCAGACACCCTCTCTTCCATCAAGAGTAGACTCAAAACTATCATAAATGTTCTTCCTTGAGCTGCATCACCCCACTGTAGTCCGTAATGGACTGGCCCGAGGTCTCTCTACAAACAAGCAGCTGCTGGAAGAGAGTTGGTGAGTTGTGTTTAGTCTCTTTGCTAAAGAAATCAGGCAAAGCTAAAAAGATGTTTGGTGTCTAGTACTATGGCTGGGACCCTATATGTCCTTTTACGAGTGGCTTTTTGGTTGAGGTTTGCTCAGACCGCTGTGTAATGCTATAGTGCGGTTGTTGCTAAAGTTGGTATAACTAGAGAAGCAAGCAGTCTGCAACATTCATCTCTCAAGGGGGAGTCTAACTCGGAGTTATGGCATATTTGACTGTAAATTATTTTTATGCTGGAATATCCCTTTAAATAATTGCAATCATTGGTCTTGCATCAGTCTTCAAGTCTCCTTCACATCTCTCTCAACCTCTGTTATGTCTTGTCCTCGCTCCAACACCGCTCAGCCAGCGACAGAATCCCTGTGAGCAAGTAAGCCAAACATCCTCTCCTCCTGCATCCCTGTGAGGTTTCTCCTCCTCCGTCTCCTCCTGCCTGCCAGGCTGTGCAGGTCTCTCAGCCCTGCCTGCTCTCCAGGCTCACAGGCCCAGCCGCTCATGATGAATGTGGAACAGGGCCGAGCCCAAGCTCCTGCCATTACCCCGTGACAATTTATTACCCTTTATCTGTGGGCACAATTAACCCAGGCCCAGGAAATAGGGACTTATCAGTCCTTCATTACCAGGACCTGCCCATGTCCCCATCCCTCCCTGTCACCTGACACACACACACACACACACATACACATACACATACACACACACACACACACACACACATTCACATACACTTTCTTACACACATCTAAGTCTCTGTGGGTTTTCAGCTTCTCTTTTGCACATGGCTTACTGTTTCTCTAACCATATCCATCCCATTACATCCATGCAGACACTCTTCCTTCTGTCTTCTGCACACACACACACATTTTATCTGCCTTCACAGACTTTCTTAAATATTGTATTTTCACAGGCATACAAAATACAGTGTGCGGCTATTCTCTGTTTTTAAAAATTGATTTAATTTATAAATAATCGACTTATTACGGGATAAGAACTCGATAAAAGATTTTCACTGCGCCGAGTTTTCAATTTTCACCAAGGAAGCCGTCCTTGTGAATCATATTATTGATGTTTTCTGAGGATTATCCGCTGTAATAGAGGTAGTGTTTCTGAAAACAGATGTTGCATCAGATTGGTTTTCAACACACTGAGCATGAGAAACTAAAACCTATCTTTGCTGTCATGGGTAATGAAGTGGAAGCAGAGAGCTCAAAGCTTTGGCAAATTAAACCCAAGATGTCTTATTTGTTAGATTCAGCTAGGTGAGGAGAAAAAAAACAATCTTTTGTTTGTTTTGTTTTAGTTTTTTATGTGAAGTAATTTTAGTGTCACTCAACCAGCAGCAGAAAGAGCCTTTTCTGTAGCTGTAAAGCTGATCGATTATTACAAGATTAAAAGTGCTGATTTTATTAATTGGAACTGATGAAGCAATGAGATTTAAGTCACCAGAGGTATTTTCCAGTTACCACGGAACTCGGATGTCAGAGCTGGGAATGACGTTACACCCAAGTTGACGGCGTTCCAGTAAAACCAAGATGGACGCCTACAGTTAGCTGATGTTAACAATTTTCAGCTGTCGTTAGCCGTTGTCAGTGGTTGTTAGTTGTTGTTAGCCATACCAGTTGTTAACTACGCACAAGACAGTATTTTACTCTTACAACCACCATAGCACCATGTTCACAATAAGACGTTGGGCAGTACAACATAAACCACAAGAGTCTGGTTCTGCTCGAGGTTTCTGCCTGTCTAAGGAAGGTTGTCCTCTTCACTGTAACTTGTCAAATTCTACAAAGAGCTACACTCATGTGGTTGAAGATGTAATGGGAGTGGGTCTGTATATACTATGGACAACTTGGTCTTGACTTTTGTCATTATATGAATATGAAGCTGAATGCTCTCTGTATTTCCGGGTAGTAGCATTGTATGCATTCAGCGGGAGAGTCGCAGAGAGTCGCTGTGATGACACTCAGCTCAAACAGCATTTCCCGGGTGAGCTACACAATCTTTGTTACGCCCATAGGCTGTATCAAGTGTCAATCATAGAACCCCCCCTAATAACTTAAAAAATGGAGCTGTACAGAAAAAAGAGGACTTGAGCACAAACCAGTCTTACTGTAACTACATGTCAACATCACAAGCAGGGGGAAAATGAAAAAATTATATTCCGTTTAATAAATTTCATAAGTTTGTCCACAGCTCCATAGGGATTGCCGGAAGAGGCAGGATTTATGACCTATACTGCAGCCCGTCACCAGAGGGTGCTGTTCTCAGGGTGGCTTCACTCAGCGAGGAGGCAGACGGCGTCCATTCTATATACAGTCTATGGTCTGATATTAATAGATGGAGCTCAATCTGATCCCACCTTGTAAATAGGGTCTGGTCTGGACCAGGTTTTCTGTTGAGCATCTTGGGGTAACACTTTTTCAGAATTGGCACTTTATCGATAGAGATTAATTTACTTAATGATTGATTGATAAATCAGCGTGCGAACTATAGTAGTTTATATGAGTAAATCAGGCTTGTATATCTAATTTCAGCAAATTTTCATCCTGTCCAGCTCTAAAATCCACCGATTCAGTTTAGTGTGATTACTAGAATGTACTTTTTCAACACACTAAGAGTTTGTTTAAAGGCTGTCAAATCCACTGTAACATCACTGGCTCTACAGATAACACTAAGGTGACCATATTCTGAATCTCCAAAAAGAGGACACAACTACGCAGAGGCAGAGTTAATGAGTCATGCATAGTAAATTTTTTGAGATTTTTCAGGTCAGGTCGAGTGTTTTTTATGCGTTTCTAACTCAAAAAGTCCACACGACACAAACTCAAAACTTTAAACAGCCCTCCAAAAAGAGGACATGTCCGGGTAAAAGAGGACGTATGGTCAGCAACAAGTAGAAGTAACTTAAACAGCTATAGACAGTAAGAAGAGGCCAAAGAAAGGTTAAAGAAAAGGGACTACTGGTGGTACATTCACAGGGCTAAAAGAATGACTCCTAATGAATAAACAGAGACCTGTTTGGGGAATCTGCATCGGTTTGACATTTCATCCATGTCCCTCTCATTGTAAGATGTGATAATACTGCCTTAATGAGCGCTGGTGGAGCAGATGTCACACCCTCCTCACCAACCAAAATATATAATGAGTGACACGACTTTTGTGATGGTGTTAACATCTGTTAACTCTACACCTACACACACACAAATCAGCATGATACAGAGCTATGAAATCATGTTCAAGAAAAAAAATCTGTCATGTATTTATTTAGTTTGATCCATGTTACATAAGTCAGCATAAAGGAGGCGGGGTCGGTGATCTGTACTGCAGTCAGACATTAAAGAAAAAGCTCCAAATATTTGGCTTTGATTCATTTTGATGTGAAGTCTGTGGTTTTAAAAGCTCTCCATAAATAAATAAGATAATAAAGCTGTTTACCTGCAGAGCTCGGTGTTAAAACAAATGAGCAGGCAACGAAAATCAGCCATGCATATTCTCACACCCCAGTATGGATCATATACGGGTTTACTGCTCTGGTTTTTGCAGGTACAGTGCGGTAACATAATCTGCAGGAGTCTCTTTGTATGAATGATAGCACTAATCTGCCTACATTATCCATGCATGTCTGGGGGGATAGTCTCCCAGTGTTCATCCACACATCGCACAATAGCCCACTATGTACACCACAGAGCATGTTGCCATTCAGGCTTATTCAAAGCTAATCAGAGCCAGCCTATGAGCGATTGCTTCTGGCAGCCACAACTTGTGACCGCTGACATTTTCGGCTGTGCCGCTCTGCTGCAAAATGGAGGAAGGGTATAAAAACCACAGTCCATCAGGTCTGAGGTGAGCCAGCTCTCCTGCAGTCAGCGCTGGTCTCTGCAGACACATATACTGCAGCTTGTAAATATTATGTAAGAATCTGAAGTTGCCTAATGAATGCAGCCCTGTCAGGTCTGCCAGGAGCAGGAGGATGATGATAGTCAGGCTTAACAATACGGACATTTAAGAGAGCTCTTATGTGTTAGTGTGTGTGGGTGTGAGTTTGGGAGGTGTTTCTTCATTTAGCTGCATAAAGTGAACAAAACTAAATTTATATGTTACATAAACCAGACATGATGGCTGATTTATAAAAGTAAGCTGCCCTTTGCTCTCTGACTAAATCAGTCCTTTAACAGCAGCCAAAAATGTCTCCTTATCCCTGAGGAAATCTCTCACAGCCCAGCTTCCTAAAGTCAGCCTACATGTGCCTGTATGTGTGGACAGACAAACACAGTATCTAAATACGTCATGACAATGAGAACTTTTGCCTGTTTACGTTGGTGGGGAGCTGAGTGCAAAGCCAGTCCTTGTGGGGGTTGACTGTGGAGCTGCAGGAAGTGAGGAATAAGAAAAGCCAAGACTCCTGCTGCAAACTGGTAAAATAACAAATAGTCGCATTAATGTGTCCCTCTAGTCCTCCTGTCTGCATCATGTATTTGAATTTTTGGTTTAGATAGATATGAAAGGAGTCTACCTGTACAATGAAACTGGCTTAAAAGTATCATTAAGCTAACCTTCTCTTGGGGTGTTAAACCAGGAAACAATCTTTTTTTCACCGTAGGCTGATAGTTCTTTTCTTAAAATTTTTGTCATCTCTTGAAACTGCTTGAAATCTTGTTTTTTTTATTTTTCCTTCAATGGGATGTGTTGTTTTTAACCTATATCCTGTTTTATATCGTTTTTTTCCCTATAAAATCTTTTTTACACAATAGAAGAACAATTTTTTGCTTAAACTTTTTATCTTCTCTTAAAACTGCTTATCTTTTTCTTTATTTTTCCTTTAATGGGATGGGTTATTTGTTTGTTTGTTTGTTTGTTTGTTTGAACCTATATTCTGTTTTTATACACATTTATTGTGATGTTTCTTTGTTTTTTTTTACATGTAGCCCTTTAATGTGGTCCTTGGATGTGAAGGGGACAACAACATAAAATGTATTATTATTATTATTATTATTATTATTATTATTATTATTATTATTATCATTTATTGCTATTATAATTTTATTAACCATTATCATTACGATTATTATCATTATTATTAAATTTATTTATTTATTAATATTAATATTATAATCATTAATGTTATTATTAATAATAATGTTATTATTGTTATATTTTCTTTGTTTATGTATTATTATTATCATAAATATTATTATTATCATTATTATTTTATTATTATTATGATTTGTTTAATTATTATTATTATTATCAATATTATAATTTTTTTATATTATTATCATTATTATTATTATTATTTACATACAGACACCTGCTGAGTAGAGAGAAAATTAAACAAGTCCCAAAAGGGAACTAGAGCAAATATTTCCTGTTACCTGATATGATTTAATAATCTGTACAGCTCACCTGCAGCCAATGTGATTTCTGAGACAAAAGTTCAGCAGAGACTCTGACAAAGATCTGTGCACGTATAGCTTCATTTCCAAACCCCATCCCTGGATGTCATTGGCCTGATTTGCATTAATTACCCTGAACTTTTTAGATCCTCTGTGAAAATGCAGACAGTGGGCCACAGGAACCTTTTATTTCCTTGGAGGAAAGTCCCTGGAACTAAAATTTTTGGGATTTTTCGGTTGGAAAGCACCTTAACCTCAGTAAGCGACACAAACAAGAGTTTTAAACAGCAGGTGTGAGTCAATTTAGAGGAAAGATGATTCCAATGAGGAGCAAATTCAACCTCAGAGAGCCCACAGAGCACGTTCAGGTAAATGCGAAAGAAGAGTTCTCATGACATGAACAGGATCAGTACAGGAACCTCCTGCGAGTAAACAGGCATCATAGTAAAACTCTATTCCTGTCGGAGCTTTGAAGGTCTGGTGTCCTGACAAACACTGAAGGGGATCTCAAAGCTCATAATTCCTTCTCCCAGAGGCCCGCTACAAAAAAAGGAACTGTGTGTGTGTTACTCCAGGAGAAGAGAAGGAAGCAGGCATCAAGGTGTGCTGGAGGCAACATGCCCAAACAATTGTCCACCGCTTCCTTAACAACTTACAAACTGCATCTTTAAGCAAAGATTAGTTCGAGGATTACAGGGCTGGATGCTTTCAGCTCCTTGAGAGTGCTCGATCTCTTCCCTCAGAGAGTTCTCCTCCCTCCCTTTTCACTCATTCTTTATACTCATTAAACAGAATGGAGATGTGTGATAGAGCAGGAAGGCAGAGGGAGAGCAAGACAGAGGGAGAGGGTGAAAGAGAGAGAATTAGATCCTCTGACATCCCGCTAATTGAGCGATCTCCTTTGTGCCCGGCCCAGCCTGCCAAGTTTTAATTAGCAACTAATCAAATCAATATGGAGGCTGCCAAGCGAAGAGGAAGGCACCCAGATTGTGGGGTGGCTGCCGGGATCACAGCTGTGTCTGACCTTTGCACCTGGAGGTACTCGTCCAAGGACACGAATGATAAAAGAGACAGCAACAGTGATGGCTGCCGGATCTCTTTTTGAGGGAGGTCGGGGTTGGCTCTGAGATGAGCAGAAAAACAAAATGACTTTGTTTTTCTGGAACGACAAGAAGCCTCAAAGGACACATTAAAGGAGCAGTTCAGCATTTTTGAAGTGGGGTTGAATTAAGTAGTCATCAACAGTAACTGGGTTGTGAAACTGATCAGGGAGCTCAGCTTTGTCGTCTCTTTCAAAGCTTGCAGACCTTCACAGCTGATCAATGTGCTGCAGGATACAAAATTTGCCCCATGTGCAGCCGTGTAAAGTCAAGGTGCTGTTAGACTTCACTGGTCACTTTCTCAAAAAGGTCAGGTTCCTCATACGGACTCTCTTTGAGAAAAACAAAAACAAAAAAAAATAGGGCTGAAACGATTCCATGAGTACCACGATTATAAAAATTGATCAAGGATTTTTTTCTGCCTTGAGTACTCGTATATAAGCTTAAATCGTCATTGTTTCGCACAGATTATTTTCAAGGTGACACAACGCGCTTACGTCACCACGGTAGAAGGAGGAGTAAACGCGGTTTTGGTTTTGTTTTGTTTTTTGCATTTCTTCTGCAGAGCTCCAGCAGCTCATTAGCAATTTGCCTCTGAGTCGTGGGCGGAGACAGCGCCGCTCTGCACACTCCTCTTCACGTTAGCTTGCAGCCTAACATTGCTGGTGTAGTAGAAGTAGCAGGTAACATAGGAACTATTCAGCTCTCGGACACTAATGTCTTTGGGGACATGATGAAAGTTAATATCATAATTAGCTTTCTTACGAGCATTGCAATCCACTAACGACACGCTTGTTCCGCGTTCCTTGTTTCTAAAAAAGGAAAACAATTGATTGTTCATTATTAGAAAAATGTTTTAATTTCTCTTGATATTAATAAATGCACTTAAACTAAAAAAAAAGTTTTTTATCTAATTACTCTATTAATCGATGTAATATTTGGTAGAATGCTAAATTACTAAAATATTCGATAGCTGCAGCCCCACAAAAAACCTGATACAACTGTCGAAAGATAGAGGCTCTGTCATAAAATCAAAGTGTGTAATGTAATGGGTGTTTTAAATGTCCAAATATTGAACATTTCTGGAAGCATAATAGGAAAAAAAAATCAAATTTTTAAAGTGTTTATCACCCAAATCCCTTGAGGTGTCAAACTGCGTGCTCAAAATATGCCCACAGAATAAAAGTTACAGACCAAAGTTCTGGACTTGCAACCTTTTTTCTAGAAGAAGAGCTTCTGCACTTTGTCGGAGAAGTTTAGATTTTCTAACTCTGAGAATGTGGAAAAAGAAACTTACCTGAATAATTCTGCCATATTTACACCAGTGTTAAAAAATTTCTCCATGTTCACACCCTTCACGCACACCAAGCCTTCATCAAAGCTCTGACAAGAGTTAATTACAGAGGAGCGTGATGTGATGTGTTGTGCCATCTTCAGATATCGCTGGAGATAAGAGGTGGGGCCATTTCTGCTCTCATGTGCCCCGGGATGCTGTCAACACATCCTGACCTCCCTCACAGGCTCCCAGCTGGGTCTGACGTCTTCTAGAGCTCCAGGGTCCCCCAGTTCCTACAGCTGCTACCCATCTCCCCTCGTCAAAGACATAAACATTAACATATACTAATGTGAAA